GAGGCTCACTGAAGTTGAAGCCAGAGAAAGCGCCAGAGAAGCCCAGCAACAGATCTCCAGTGACGCTGTGCAGGATCTGCGCTCACAGGTCCAGCAGCTCAAGAGGACGGTCACAACGCTAGAAGCTCGCCACAGAAAGCGAAACATTCGCATCAGAGGCATACCAGAGACCATTGGGGACGAAGCCCTGCTGAGGTACATATCCCGCCTCACCACCAGAATGGAAATAAGGCTGCACACCGAACCAGACAAAATAATAACCGCATTTAGAATACGCAAAGCCGCAGCAGCGCCAGCAGAATCCCCAAGGGACGTCATAGCGGTCACGAAAGATATTCAGACCCGCTCAGCGATCATGGCTCGCTCCCGAGAACTGGGAAGCGTTCAATTCGAAGGCAGCACAGTGTCCCTTTATGGAGACCTCCCGTTCGCAGCCCTAGCGGAGCGGAGACAACTAGCATCAGTGGCTAAACAATTAAGAGCGGAGGCAATCAAATACCGATGGGGGGCAGATGGATCCCTAACAGCAATGAAGGGAGATCGGACACTCACACTCACCTCCGCGGACGACCAGGCACACTTTCTCCGCCAGCTGAGAAGACAAGAGGCGGAAAACAAAGAACCCAGAGAAGCCGACACCGGGAAGCAAAAAGCCGCACAGAGCAAACCAGGGCCCACAAAGAGTCACCACATCGCAATGACACCGAGGAGACAATTACTCACCTAAGCGGCTTACCACAGCACTCACTTAGCACACCACCAACTCCCAGGTGATAGAGCATACACCCGGCACCATTCTGATAGGATAAACCATACACCAAGTTATAAGCCCCAGAAATCAAATCCAATCCAATCCCAGATGTATTACCATTCTAGCTAAAACTAGAGACATTCCTCTCCCAGATGTTTGGCTCACAGAAAGCGCAAAGTTGGAGACCCCACAAACACCCTTGAAAGCGGGACTGTCTGCATCAATAAGGGCTTGAGAAGTGGCGTAACAAAGGGTCACAAGGAACCTGAGGTTGCAGAGTAACCAACAATAGGCGTTTTAATAATGACATCATGGACTGTTACAGAAACTTGGTTTTGCAGTTCTTTACATTTCCCATACTATGACACTGTTGTATAATGAGTACTAAACCTCTAATAAAATACAAATTAAAAAAAAAAAAAAAACAGTTGTATTGAGCTTTGTTTTGGAGATTTCTTCCTGGACAAAGGATGAAGACTTAAAATCTTATCTTAGCCCGAATTCCTTAATGCTCTTTCCTCTATCATATAAAACGTAATAACCCAGCGAGATCTTGCGTTAGTTACGCACAGTCACAAAGTGCTATTATCCCATAATCTGTTAATTGCAAACCAATTTACTGCATTTGCCTAATATCCCAGTGAATATCCTGTACATTTTATTACCCCAGTAAGATCAGACTGCTGTCCAAACAGGTTCATTGTCCCTAGTAAAAGTCTACTTCTCTAGCCAATATCCTGGATACACTACAATCTTGCATTCTAGTTAAATAATATAACTCCAGCGTGCTCTGGAAAGATTATACCTTATTGCTCTTGTAAATCTTAGATACTATAGCCTATAGGCTGGAGATCCTATTACCCAGGTGTTCCTTTACTGCGGTAATATAGTTGACATGCGCATAGTCGTCTTTTTGGCCTATTCCTGTTATAAACCAATTATAACCTTTAATAATCACAGACACATGAATGAATTGGCAAAATATTCCACGGCTTTATTAAATATATATAAATAATAAAATATAAATTTAAAAGGTCATTGTCAACAACGCTTGAAAAGACATCCCCCCAATTAACATAACTAAATACCCAGACAATGACCTCCAACATATTTACAGAATACATCCAACTAGCAGTATAACATAGCATAAATACCATAAACCTTAACATAGCCACCCAGGGCCTCCATTTCCAATTGTAGGGGCATACCAAGACACCCCTACGCCATTATCATAGCCACCAAGGGCATCCCTTTCCACTGTAGGGGCATACCAAGACACCCCTACACCATTATCCCAGCCACCAAGGGCATCCATTTCCAGTGTAGGGGCATACCGAGACACCCCTACACCCCCAGGTTCGTAGCTACCGCCGAGCTCGAACCTACCACCAAATCTAAAGGTAAGTATTCCTCCTGACCTATCCCACTTACCAAAAACCGACCTACCCCCAATTAACCTAATCCATCCCCCGCCGCCGTGACAAAACGGGAGAGTCATGACTCTTAGCCCTTAACCAACTAAATTAGGGAGGGTGGGCGGGACAGCTAACAACAGGTAAAGATTTCAAATTAAAATGGAACCCAAATTTAAAATGGCGAATTATTATATGTCTAAGCCACTCCCCCTTTTACCCACTAACCAATCCAGACACACTCATCCATAGGCCAGCCTCCTAGCTCTGTCAAGGCCCATTCCACCTAGCTTTGCTATTCCATGGGCTTCATTCTGAGTGTTCTATACTGACTTGATCATGTGATTCAAACTGCTGACTTAACATACCGGTACTTCCCAACATTTCAAATGGAAAAAGAGGAACATTTTATTTTAGGGGGTATGATTTAGAAAAAAAAAACAATGAATCTTATTTACACAGACTGATTTCTAAACACATTTATTGTAGTTTTAAAGTACTGATAGCGGTACGAATACAAATCTGTATTTCTAACGTTATAGTGTCCTTGTCTCTATCTTTGTAGGTCCCCCACCTCTGATTATAAAAGGGTTAAAAACCCTTTTTTTTAAACTTGCCTGTTACCTCTGTGCTGGCTAGTTCTCTTCCAGCAATGTCACGGGGATGGTGGGACCTCATGTGCATGCACAGCACTTGCATTAAAGCTTAATTAAGCTTAATTAAATCAATGCTTTCCTATGGGTATTTGAAGATGTTAGGCGTCCTTATGCAAAGAGTGATGACGTCCAACGTCGTTTAATAAAGTAAAACTTTAGGGCCCCAGAAGCGCCTCTAGCGCCACAGCCAATAGATATGGTTTTAACCCTCTCAAAAAATGCTATATTTTACATTGTTGGGTTAAACATATGGGGCACTGTGGGTGCCTACGGTGTCTATTTAGCAACACATTACTGTGAGTATACTATTTTTGCTGTGGAGCTCTGTGATACAATATGAAGCTCTTAGAAAAGAGCAGCATTAGGATAGAAAAAAAAAGGAATAACGGGATTTGGGCCCAATAATGGACTATCCCTCCTAGATAGGGACAATTAGGAGGTATGAAGGTCTAATGAACATCACTTTGTATTAACCTCTAAGTTGCATCACTGCCTCAAACGTATTACAAAGCATTCTGAATCCAGCATGTAGTGAGCAATGAGCTACAAGACTCTAAATAGACGTCTCTCCCTCTCATACACAAAGGTGGGAGGAATGTCTCCCCTACATAGGAATTGCCCATGTATCTTTGGCCCAGCTTGCCTCTCCTCATCACACAATGCCATGCCTTTCACTTGCTAATTATGCTAAATATTTTAAATCAACAAGCAGAATAAACAGTTTGGCTAATCTGTCCCTGTTTGGGAATGCTAATCTACTGCTTTGTCTGTCACAGCTTTCTCTGTACTAAGGCTCCTTCTAGCTCTCCCTGTGAGACAAATATTTCCCTCCCTCTCCAGTTCTTTCCCTCTCTCTCTCTCTCTTGACTCATCTTCTCGTTTTACGACCATTAAATAGATAAAAGGCCTCTTACTATAAGCAGAGTGCCTGAATTTAGTAAGTACGTCTAGGTGTGTCTCTAATTCATCTAACAAAAGTACAAAAGCAATCACATTGCTATATTATAAAACCCCAAAAATATATAATAAAATAAACTCAACTAAGGTCAAATTAAACAATAAATAAAGCAAATAAAATAACTGTACAGTAGAAGTCGTAAAAAATTTGCATTATAATACTCTTTAAGTACAATATATGTCACTTGTAAAGGACATTAAATAAACAAATCTAGTGGATTTTCTATGGAAGTTTTTTTATAGGCAAAGTATATTTTTATCAATTTAGTCTATTAGTAGAATGGTATAACCAACTCTTTTAACATATGTTTTGTTTTACATATTTTTTTTAAACAGTGAAAAATATGTGAAGGTAGTTGGGATAGTTTAGGAAGAAACCCCTTTTACTTTTAACAACTTACCCAGAATAACTTGACGCAAGATGTAAATGGTGACAAACAGGCCACAGCTTTATTCAAAACAATACCATTATTAACATAACACATTAACATAACATTCATTAACCGCAACTTCCGTTACCCGACTCCTGACAACCATTTAACATAACCTGGACGCTTGCCTCCCCCCTTGTCCATACACCACAATTGGCCTTCCAACTGGTCTTCCAATACCATCCATGCTAACCACTGGCTTTGGCTCAGTGAGCATGTCCTTCATCATAACTTAATCCCGGGCTAGGGGAAGGATTAGCCCTGAACCATTTCCACTGGACCACTGGTCCAACCCTGACTGGCAAGGACCTTCATCCGCCTGCTGTGACAAGAAAACAGAATTAGCACAACACAGAACATAACAAAAGGTGGGTGGGTGGGTGGGTGGGAAGCTGTTCCCAAGCCAGATAATTACGATGGTTGAGGGTAACAGAAAATGGCTCCCTCTATATATATGGCCATTCCCATTAACTTAGCCCCCTTTTACCTACAGGACCTCCTTTCTTTGAACTTATTACACCCCACACACACACACACACATGTCCCTGTTCCCAGCTAGCCCCTTGGTCTGCCTCCTCAGAGTCTTATGATCTTAAAAAACAACACCAAACTTTCTGGGTGGGTGGGATTTGCCCCCCTCCAGTTATTAGGTCATGGCTCATTCTACGAGCTGTTCTGAGAAGTAAACTATTGCCTTGATTTTTTTTTCCACTTAAAAGGTGACATCCATTTTCTAAAAAAATTACACTGAATGCAAAGCTCAGCCAGTATTCCAATGAAAAAGAATAGTTCTCTTACAATTCTATGTGAACATGCAGCATCATGGGAAATAGATACCCAGAGTGTCTGTGTGTACACTGCCGCAGTCAGCACTATAAGACATTAACTAAGCACTGAGACCGCAAGGGAGCTTTTAAAGTAATAATGTTTTTCCACTGGACCACCAAGGATTGTGCTCTCAGTGTGCCACCACCAGGGAAACATGAGCAGGACAATGGCAGAACAGCCAGACACTACACACAAACAACACTCAGACTCTTCCACAAGTAAAATTCAGCCAGCAAACACAGACACACTCAGCCTCAGGGAAGGGCTGGCAGCCTTAGGCTTGGGGGCAAATCCAGTCAAGTGGCCCATTGCACCAAGAGAAGAGTAAAAACACCTTTCTCATGTGATTGAAAGGGGGGGCAATCACTTAAAGAGACACACTCACTGATAGGCACACACACATACACAGACATACTGACACACACAGAGACATACTGACACACACACACACACAGACAGACAGACCTACTGACACACACACATACTGACACACACAGAGACATACTGACACACACACACATGACTTGTTCACAGTCGTTATTCGGCATGTGCCCAAACCTTAATAAAATAACTCCGGGACACCATTTCTGTTGGAGTATAAAGTCCACAGCTTTATTAAAACTTTCTAATTCAACAATTTAACAATTTTGGGTTATTATCACAAGTATTAATTATGTCCGACCTTCTTGCCCAATACCCCCGACAATGACCCTACCAAATAACATTAATAAAACATTCCAATGATGCATAACGTTTAACCCATGGCCTACCAAAGAGGCCCCATAACCATATGTTTAACTGTAGGGGTGTACCCAGACACCCCTACACCCCCAGATTCATAGCCACCAACGAGCTAGAACCTACCAACCATTTTCCACTCCGGCATAGTCCAGCCTAGACCTTGGCCTGTCCACTTCCTATTCCCCCTAAATCCTCTTTAACCCAGGCCCTATTCCGCCACAGCACATGACTTGACCCCCTCAAGAACATGTGCGACCCCCACCACACAGAAACAGGGCCTGTGCAATACCATCCTGAAAACCCAAATTAAGTAAATCCGATCCCACGTCGGACAGATGAACCCCATCCTTCCTAAAATACCCGGGCAGCATGCCTTCCAATTCCCTGTGACGCACAACCACGCCACCCATGCGTCTCACGAAAACCGCCATGGTCTTATTGAACTTACCTCTACTTCGCGCTACCGCAGCCGGATCCCTGGCGTGTCTCCACTTAAAGCGAGGCACCATTTCTGACCAGACCAATACCACGCCAGGAACCAACCAATCCAAATCCCTCTTCATCCTCCTCAACAGTTCCCGCTGCGGGATCAAGCCTAGGTCATTCCCCCCACCATGAACCAGAATTACGTTAGGGACTGACCCCCAAGCCAGCCTATTGAACAGTTCCATACTGATGCTCTGCCAACAGAAACCCCTGAAACCCAACCAATTGAGAACCACCGTCTCCACAGGGAAGCCCAGTTGTGCTCTGTCTCTTCTCATCGCGGCCCTCCTCCGCGCCCAATACACGTAGGAATGTCCGATCTGCCATACCAAACGACCTAAAAGAAATAGAACAGTGAACAGCAGAGGAACTTAACAATCAACGCCCCAGCCCCCTGTTACACCAACTTGTCCGGTCTAACGTATGAGTGGAACCGAATGGACTCCCATCTTCCTATCCGCTTGATCCGCTCGTCCCCCAGACCTAAACGAGCCGCCTCTGTTGCGGCCCCAATTCTAAAAGAATGTGTCCCGAATTGCATGGGTTCCAGGCCCAGCTTACCCAATCCTGCGCGAAATATCCTGACGAACTGAAAACGTGACAATGCCTTACCATCAGCATGGATAAAGAAACAGCCGTCCCTCTCGGGGCGGACTTCCAAGAAATCGGCACCGCAAGCCACAGGGCAGACCCTAGACCCTGACAATTTGAACAATGTCACCAAGCATCCCTTGCTGAATATGTCCGTCTTTGAGCGGCACAACTTAATCTGCACCCTATCTTCACCAACGGTCACGTGCCCCCACGTATCCCACCAACCCCTGCTTTGTTGGTGCTAAGCAGCTCCCCAATTCGGAATGCCCCGAAGAATGCCCAGACAAACGCCCCGGAAAACAACACCACTTCATATTCGGAGTAACATAATGTCGGTTGAGCCTCCATTAGCCCTTGCAGCACCGCGAATGACACTGGCCTCCTCGTATCCACTGATTTCTTACCCCTCCGAAAACCTCTTATGGCTCGCCTCACCAAGAAATGTTTCGTTATATCCTCCCATCCGTTAAACTTAAATAAGAAGGCCAACGCCGACATGTGCCTGTCTACCATAGCTGGCGACACCTTCCTGACCTACCTTTCACACAGCACCCATAACAACATATCTAACCGATGTCCCTCTGACAAGTCCCCTCCCACTTGTGCCACCGTCTCTTCCCATTCGTGCCAAACCTTCACATATGCCGCCCAGGTGCCCGGCGCCAGGGAACTCTTTATGAACTCCCCAAGCATGATGTCCCGAGCTGCCACATTTCCGCCGGACATGCCAATCCTTCCTCTCGTGCCTCCGGCGTTGCTTCCCGAAAACGTTCCCACTGTGAACGAGACAGCGCATCAGCCACTATATTCAAGAAACCCGGAACATGCCTTGCCCTGAACACTATATTGCTAGACATACACAGAAGTACAAATTGCCTTAATAACCGTATCACTGCAGGTGATGATGCAGACAACCCATTGATAGCCTGGACCACTGCCATGTTATCGGAGTAAAATACCACTTTTTTGTTTGCGAGCTGTTTTCCCCATAATGCCACCGCTACCACCACCGGGAAAAATTCTAGGAACGCGAGGTTCCTTATCAGCGAGCTCGTCTTCCACTCCGCGGGCCATTCCTCGGCGCACCATTGTCCAGCTAGGTAAGCCCCAAACCCCACGCTCCTGGAGGCGTCTGTGAACAAGCCTATGTCCTTGGAGGATACTCCTGGCTCCCGAAAAAACACTTTACCGTTAAATTCCCTTAGAAACCTTTTCCAAACCCCCAGACCCGCTCTCATATCCGCCGAAACCTTCACGTAATGATTCGGCAACCGCACACCGCTCGTCGCCTAGGCCAGTCTCTTACAAAAAACTCTGCCCATTGGAATCACTCTGCATGCAAAATTTAGACTCCCCAATAGTGACTGCAACCCTCGCAAGGTCACTTTTCTTGCATGCCACACTGTGTCCACTAGCTGACAAAGCTTAAGTAGTTTGTCCGCGGGCAATCTGCATTCACCTTTCACAGAGTCAATCTCCAGGCCGAGGAAACTAAGGCATGAGGTGAGGCCAACCATCTTATCCCCTGCCAAGGGAACCCCAAAAGAGTGTGCTACCCATTGAAATACCCTCAGTATCTGGCCACACCGCTCAGATCCTGCCGGCCCTACACACAAGAAATCATCTAGGTAATGCACGATTCACCCCCCGGCCGACTCCCGTCGTACCACCCATTCCAAAAAGGTGCTAAACTTTTCAAAATAGGAACACGAGATGGAACAGCCCATCGGTAAACACAAGTCTACGAAGAAACCCCCTTCGAAGAAACACCCCAATAGGTGGTGACAACCGGGATGAATAGGGAGCAGCCGAAATGCTGCTTCCACATCCACCTTCACCATCAGTGCACCATGTCCAGCTCTCCGAACCAACTCGACCGCATGGTCGAATGATGCATAGGATACAGAACACAGCGCCGCGTCGATATCATCATTTACCGATGACCCACGTGGGTGCGATAAGTGATGTATCAGGCGAAATTTTCCTTCCTCCTTTTTAGGGACCACCCCCAGCGGAGACACCTGTAAATCGTCTATCGGCGGGGACGGAAACTGCCCCGCCATCCTTCCCATCTGGACTTCTTTCATTAATTTTTCCCGCACTAACCCTGGGTGTTCCCGGACTGATTTAAGATTTGCACACATGGTTCCCGGACCCTTGACCCTGAATGGGATAACAAAACCTTCTGTAAACCCTTGCCATAAGAACCTTGCCTCCTCCTGGTTACCGTACTGCCTTAACCACGGCAGCATCGCGCCGACCTTCACCGGCGACGTGGCTGTTGCCCCTGCTGCACCCCCGAGGTTAGATTTTCCTTTCTTAAAGCACCTATTGACTCCATGATTGCCCCCGCATCCGGAACATTCATGTTTAAATCTACACGATGCCCCCCATTTGCACTGCCCTTCATTGTACAGCCAACAGAACCCCTTCTTCTGTCCGGCCGATACAGCGCTTCCCGTGGCCGCACCGGCCGTCCCTTGAAAGGGCGCATTTTTCTGAGCCATCATTATTCTCATCCATAAAGGCAGGTCCATCTGATCCCACCTCATACTAGGATTCACTGCCAACCATTGGCGAAATTGTTCGTCGTACCGCCACCATGCTAATCCCCCATAAGTCCTGTAAGCGTCCCCTATCCCGTCCAAATAACAGAACAGCTGCGAACATCGCTCTGGGTAGTTTTCCCCAACTACGCTCGCCAAAATACAGAAGGCCCTGAGCCAATTCCCAAAAGTCTTAGGTATCTTCCGATACCGCCGCTTTTTCTCCTCCTCTTCTTTTTTGGCATCCCTTTTATCCTTTATCGAGGAATTCCTCGAGTGGAAGCAAGGAGAAGATTTCCATGAATTCCCCTCTCCCAAGTGACATCCTAGTGGTCCCGCGAAGGACACATGCACGTTTTGCCGTGCCACGTCCGCTATCTCACCACCCCTGGCTGCCTGCTGGCCAGACCCGTCTGCCTTTCCGGTTCCCAACTCACCGTCCCCCGTTTCGCCGACACCCGACTTGTGTGCCAATATCCTCTCAGCCCCCCGTTCCTTATCTCCCCCGTCCTCTGGTGACCATACCCTTCCAAACTGCGGGGGTGACCCCTCTTCCCCCGCCCAGGAGTTTATGAAAGATTTTAAGCAACCCAGTAAGTTCCCAGTGTGTGGTGTACTTCGTGAATCACCGCCAGTGCCCCCGACCGTGGCTGGCCACGGGGTTGCTGTCCTTCCGTCCGCCTTGTCAGGCTCCGGAGACTCCTGTTGCTGCCGACTCCTTTCCGCCTGGCCTCTCCTCGGGACCGTAGGTGTCACACTCCTCGACCTGCCGGGAAAATATAACCTGGGTAGTCTGTCCGCCTATTGTCCTACCTGCCTTTCCTCCCTGCGTTCCTTCCTCCTGTCCCTGTGCTGTCTCGCTGCCTGACCGTCCCAGCCGTATGACTTTCTC